CTTTAAAAATTGCCACTATACACTCTTTAGGGCTAAACCCACAATCATGCAGTCTAGATCTACCTTTTGAACTACATTTTCAATGCATATCTATACCCTGACAGAGATCTAGAACACTTCACACACTACAATATATTATGATGTAATAATACTTAAAAAAAATGAGAAAAACTCTGAAGGTTCTAATGACATGACACAATAATACAACAATCACTAATTGACAATGTACAGTACTGTGCAAAAGTGTTAGGACAAGAGAATATTTTGTCATTTTTCCATTTTATGGGGCTAATTCTTCCATACCAGAATATAAATTTCAACACTGTGTTAATGGTTCACTGATCCTTGAATGAGCCAGGGTGAGAATATTTGTCATTCTTTAGAATTCTCAAACAGTATATATACACACACAGTATGGATCAAAGAGGTCACACCACCAAAGATAGCTTAACAGCTTAGTAAAGATATCTTGGTACCCCAGGGTGTTGGTTTATGGAAGGGCTATTTTGTTCAGTTAAGATAGCCTTTTTTATTTTGCATTTGTTGATGTTTGGTTCTTTGTTTAAAATTACAGTGTTTTGTAGGTTTATTACTGTAGGTTTTTGAGTTGCAATGGTGGTAAACATGGGAGGGTTTTTAATTATGTTCAGAGAATCTGGTTTCCAATTTTCTTCTTGTTTCTCCAATGTAGATTTCTGTACATTTATTGCACCTTATTTTATAAATGATGTTGTTACTGTGTGATTCTATATAACTTTTATTTAGTAATGATATTAGTTTAGGGTTTGATTTTGAATAGATTTGAAATCAACAAAAATTTTATGTTTAATGGCAAGCTTTCTTCAATTTTCGATTATTTTTGAATTTTTGTTGATTAATGGTAAACTGCTGTGTAATGTTGTGTTGTTTTTTGGTGTATAAGTCCCACAATCATAAAAATTACATAGAATCACACAATAACAATGTCCTGTATAAGATAAAGTGCAATAACTGTCCAGAATTCTATATTGAAGAAACTGAAAGAAAACTGGAAACCAGATTCTCTGAACATAATTAAAAACCCTACCATGTTTATCACCATTTCAACTCAAAAAACCACCAAATATCTATACAAAATACTGTCATTTTAAACAAAGAACCAAACATCAACAAATGCAAAATAACGAAAGCTATCTTAATTGAACAAAACAGCCCTACCCTAAACCAACATCCCAGGGTACCAAGATACCTTTACTAAGCTGTTGAGCAATCTCTTGTCATGAGACTTCTTTGATCCATACTGTATATATATATATATATATTCATGTGTCGCTGTAAGCTACTTGTACTTGTTGATAACATAATCTTGTCAAAATGTTGTATATTTCTAATAAAGTTTTCTTTGTTACCCATTCAAGCCATCTCTAAACTTTCATTTTCTCAAAAGTGGGTTCCTCATCATCAAATTGATGTAAGACTAATAGGCCTATAATTACTGGGACAATTTTTATCACCTCCTTTGCAAGGAGAATCATAAAGCAATTTTGAATATTCTGGCACTGTCACACTGTTCAAAAACTTGCAAAACATAGTAGCAAGCAGCTTACATATCCAATCTTTAATCACTTCTGAAACCCATGAGAAAAATATTATCTGTCTTGGAAACTTAAACGTTCATTAAATTTTCCAATTTTTTCTTAACATGCTCATAATTAACATGATGATTTTTTTTTTGTAAATTTTCATCAGTAAAAATTGAAAAAAAAAAGGTAGTAGTTAATAATCCAGTTATTTCATAATCATCAGATATGAGTATTCCTTTATCATCCCTCAAAAGCCATTTACCATTCCTAACATTTTGTTTACCCTTAATTTATTTAAAGAAATCCTAACTGTTAATATTTACATTTTCAGTCAACCTTCTTTTATATCCTTTTTGATTACCCAATTTCCTGTTTGAGCAACCTTCTTGATCTTCTATGATACTCTAAGCCTCCTGTCATAAAAGTCAATTTAAACTTCTTAAATTTATGATACATTTCTTTAATTTTATCCCTTATATCCTTTGTGAACCAACTTGATTTTTTACTTGCAGCCATCCTTTTGTTTTTCCATAAGAAATGTATGTTTTAAAAAAGTTGAAATATTTCATCAGTATCTCCAATTAATTACTTCCCCATTCACAACAGATAATAAAAGCCTGTGCTATAAAGATAAGTGAGAGCAGTTAGAATGTTATACATAAAATTTATTTGATGGTTATTAAAAAGTGATACTTTGATACTTTCACAAATATTGATCAATTAAGTATATCTAATATACTCAATTGATCAATATTTATTGAATTTTTGAGAAGTTTTTAATATAATTTTTTGTGTATTCTTACTAATAATGTTTTTTTCTACTTTAGGTTCTTTTTTTTCAAATTCATTAATATAATCATTTATACTGTGTGCCTTGAAGTTTGATATTCATAACTAGATCTGGAAGATTGACTTGATTAATCAACATAATTGATTACCTATGAACATTGATTATAACAATTAGTGTCATGTGATAAAAATAATCATATTATCAAAATTTGCGCTTTGATTGTTAGTATTTTTGATTATTCCAATTATCCAACTAAAATATTCCCATTATGATTTCTCATTATTATTTTTGATTAATTCAAGATTATGGTATTTAACTGATATTATCCATGAAAATAACTGAATAATTGAAGTCAGTGTTTATGATTATCACAATCTTTGTTTATTCCAACTATCCCAGTCTCATGTAGAATATTTGATTAGTTTAATGTATTCAATTAATAAGCCCATTGTTTAATCAATTATCAAATTACACCAATCACCCATCTCTACTGACAATGTTCCTGTTTTTTTCTTTGTATATTTGTGTCTTCAAGTTTAAGATATTTAGTTTTAAAGTTTTGGTCAGACACTAATTTACAAGTTTCTTAAATATGTAAAACTTGTACAGTGCTTAATAAATTTATAATTCATCGTACCCTAGTAGTACAGTAGTTGTCCAATATATTATAAACTTGGCATAATGATGGATAAGTCAATCAAGTCATCAAAGTAGTGCTCTGTGGTTAGTTCAGGTAATAAAGCAAACTAACAATAAAAAATTTATTCTAAAATTGTTTGGATGTAGGGATGGAAAAAGTTCAGAAACTAGAGAGCATTTAGGATGGGAGGAAAATCTGCACTACCCATTCATGCATTCAACCACTCACAGTTAGGTAGTTGAATGCAAGAATGGGTGACGCAGATTTTCCTTCCATCCAAAATGCTCTCTAGTTTCTGATCTTCTTCCATCCCTACATCCCAATAATTTTAGAATAAAATATTCGTTTTTAATGCTAGTGTCTGGACTTTTGTTTTTGTTTTTTAACAATTACCATCACACGTGGCGCCATCTATTGATTGATATGTGTATTGGGCAATATTAAACAATCTGTATCATTGCATACATTTTGGGCTGTAACTAACCCATTGTGGATCACTTGGGGCTCAAGATTGAAAAGGCACATCTTATGGAGTAGTGAAGTGTTTTGGTGTGCAGGCTAGAAGTAGGCACACTGTGGTTTATGAGTTACAGCTAACAGAAAGGAAGAAAGAAGAAAAAGAACCAGACTCATTCCTACATAGGCACTGTTACTGTGCTACCTGATAGAATTTCAGAGTAAAATATACAGACACACTGATTACAAGTCAACAGAAGTAATTATCTCTCTACACTAATCATTATTTGAGCTTCATCTGGTCTTTTTATAAAACAGTGGAAAATGACTTACTGAAAAATGGTCAAAGAAGTATTACTAGAAAGATTCCAGGATTGAAAAAGTTACCACCTAAGGATAGGTATATATAATGATATATATACTGATAATATCCATTAATCACAGTGAAGTTAATTTCCAAACAAATGATTGTATATAAACCTTTTTTTTTCATTTAAAATTGTATTGACTGCTCTTGTGTTTCTAATAAAAAACTGAAGAAAAGAATAAGGAACAACAAAGGATCATCAACAATTACCAAAAAATTTCAAACTCAACAAAATTTATGATTAGGTTTGTCCCTCCATCCAAAAGAAGATATAAAATCTATAACTACTATAAGAAAGAACACATTCCAAAATTCTCTGCTGACATTCAGCATTGGTTTCAGTTTGCTTTAAAGTTTAACGTTAGCTCCTTTAGCTGTTGAGTGTAAAAAATGCAATATGACAGTCTCTATGAGGGTTATAGCATTTCAAATAGGTAAGTCACAGTTTATTGTAAATATGGATCAATTTTTTCTTTAAAAATTAAATCATTATAAAAAAAGATGATATGTAAGTAGAAACAAATTTATTTTACATACCAATGTTTTGAGAAACTATACTTCTTCAGGCTTAATTTTATTTTGATATTATTATTAAGCTTAAAGAAGAGCGGTTACTCAAAGTGTCCCTAAATAAAATTTTTTTTTTTTCTGTTTGAATGTTGTGCTTCTGCAGTGATTATATTTCATTGCATTTATCTCTCACTGTTGTGTGAATTCCAATTATTTTGAAAACTTTTTCTTTTTCTTGGCATCTATCTTGGTAATGCCATCAAAGCGTTCCAGATTTAGTCACTCATATTTGAACTAACCATGACATTATACTATCACTAGTACTAATGCTGATTAGTAATATCATTGAATTTTGGAATGTGCCTAATTACTGAAGCATCAAAAACAAGTGAATGTAATAATGTAAAAAGGTAATCTGTAGTAATGAAAACAAAATTTTGTCTGGATATAGAAAATCCGAAAATACAACTTACGCTGTTACAACTTACAGGGCTCCTTCCATATACACACAAACACACACACACACTTCCGAAATTTTGGAAACTATCTTCCACTACACAGTCACAAGCGCAATAGCACTGCAATGTAAGCCGAAACTGATATTTGAATTTATAGAAACTTTCAAAACACAGAACTTAAGACAGGTTAGAACAAAACTTAATACAATAACCGTACTTTCCACGATCCTCCATACGTGTCCTCTTGCACTTTTAGTTTTATGGGCGCATCTCTCCCACCATCAATAGTATTGACTTTTTTAACGTTATTTTCGTTTGTATTATCAAGAACAGGAACAAATTTAGCAAATTTTCGTAGCTGCCAGCGATACTTTCCTTTTGCTAACATACCGTTTTTACACTTTGTTATTATTACTGAGTGTCGTATATTTTAGTAAATCTGACCGAACTGATAAGCCTAATATCGTAAATTTCAAGTATCTCGACACTTCTAATTATGTAAAAAATCTGAAAATATAGCTTACAGGGCTCTACACACACACTTTCAAAAGTTTTTCGAAATTGTGGAAATTAACTTTAACTATATATCCATATCGCTGTAGCACTGCAGTGTGGGCCTAAACTGCAAATAATTATTTGAATTTAATGTAACTTATGAAACAAACGACTTAGATACATAATACTAGATTAGACCAAACTTAATTAATATAATGAGCGTACTCTCCACAATCCTCCAGATGTCTCTTGCAAATTTATGGGCGCATCTCTCCTGCAGTTCCCACATTTCTTTTTCGTCGCTGTTACCAAAAGAGGAACCAGTTACTTAAAAACGAAAGAATATTGTTACGTCTCCGTTTGTTAATTAATTTTTCCGTAAATTCCTTCCAACTAAACTTTAGCGAC